TTGTTTTCACTACTTTTCAGGGAGTTTATGCAGTCAAAAACGAGCCATCACGAACAACGACCTGGGACTAGCTTTTCCAGTTGCATTGCCTCCTTTCATGAGAGATTCGTTGTTTAGACTCAGGAAAAGGCCCTAACGAGCCCAGAATTTCCTGCCTCCTTCCCCAGCCCGCATAGGGTGCGTTTCCTGGGAAAACCTCGGTGGCAATGCGGGCAGACAGATTTCTCTGGCCACTTAGGGACCCCCTCCCGGGTCATTCCTCCGGGGGGTATTTGGGGGCCACGGAGGAGGCTCGGGGGAATAGTCAGCGGCTGCCACAACACGGGCGAAAACCGAAGTGGGCGTTCCCGACCCGCTCCCCTTTTGTTAGATCAAGGCAAAGGTCAATATGGTTTTAGCGCGAATTTATTAGCACAGAAATCAGCAAGCCGCTCGCTAATTAGCAAAGCCCAAATAAACGTGCCCGAAGGCTTCTCTTTTCCTTTTTTCGTTTGTTGTTTTTTTTTTTCCCTTCTGTCTCGAAAGAAAGGGGACTCACGAGCAAAAATAGAGAGGAGAAAAAAAAAAGCTCCAAACCCTCAGAGGAGAGGATAATACGGGACTTTATGAATGTTTTATGGGTAATTGCTGTATAACTTTCTAATTTCACAGGGGGGTGTTCACCTCCAAAGGCTGGGGACACAGCCGTCCCCGGAGCCCAGTGGAGGGTCACAGCCCCCAGTCCCAACCTGCTACCCCTCTGCCCCCGCGGGATCCAGCGGCCGGCATAGGGAAGGGAAGCGCTCTGCAGGAAAGATGCCTGCCAGGGGAAAGGGCGAGTGAGACGGTCACGCACAGCAATAAAGTTCAAAGGCCAGCGGGGCTCGGGAGCTCCGTGTCCACCGGGACCCTTCTGCCCTCCCTGCCTGTTTCCCCTCGTTACTCACCCCGACCGCCGGCGCTCACTGCCTGTCCCAGCTCCCTGCGGAGACAGCTGCCGGGCCGGGGCCACATCCCCAGGTCCTGCACGGTCCCGTTGCGCCCGCCCCCAGGAGCCAGAGCCTCTACCCGCCGCCGCCCTGCCCAGGTGCTTAAAATAACAGCGAGGAGCACGACACCTGAGGGGGGATTTGATTTTCCTTTAAAATACAAGTAGGGAAAAACAGTGCCAGTTAAGAAACAACAAGCCTAAAACTCAAAATGTGTTCAATATAATATTGAAAATAAAAGAGTGGCATCTGCTTTTTCTACTCTGAATTTCTTGAGTTCTTGTCACGGAGAAATTAGCTACCTTGAATTTTCACGTTTGTTAAAAAAAGATAAAGTTTATTTCTTTTTTGTTTTCCTTTCCCCTGTAATTTTTCAGTCACAAAAAAAAAAATCTATATTTTATCATCTAAGCATTTATTTTACTGAATCCAAAAAGACATGAAAAGGGAGAGGGAAGAACCACGTTCGTTCATTTTAAACTAATGTATAGAAGTGAAATTTTTTTCTCCTTTTTTTTGGACGACATATAATAAATATGATATAGCACTCAGCACTCGGTCTGTACAATTCTGTTCGCATTAGGGAGCATGCCACTTTGCAATAAGAAAAAAAAAAAAAGGTAATGAGAAAAATCAGTGCAAAGTTCTCCGTTTCCCCGGTCTTCTCCGCCGGGCGGGGGTCGAGGCGCTCTCATTCCCTCCGTCCTCCGCAGCCATTTGTCTCTCCGGCGGGCTCGGGCTCCCTCTCCCTCTCCTCCTCCACCCCTTCCGTCCCTCTCTCTCTCCGAGCTCCAAGTCCTGCCTCGCAGGAGCCGAGGTCGGCGGGTCGCCCCGCGGCTCTGCCCGCCTTCCCCCGCGTGTGGTCGTTTCACTTACGGGCTTGGCTCTGGGTTCACGGTTCAAGAGTCCCTGCTCTGACTGATCGCCTCCCTCGGTGGCCGGTGGCTGCCTGCAGAAGCTCCTGCCCCTCTGCTTCCCCTCGCTTCCTCCTCTGCGGTGCTGGGGCTTGTTTGGGGACGGGGAGGGGAAGGGCTCGTTGCGGGGACCGCGGTGCCGTTTCACCGAGGGTGCGGGGTGCCGGGCATGGGGTTGGCCAGGGGGTTGAGGGCCGGCTGCCCGCCGGGCCCCAGCCCGTGGATCAGCACCCGCGGCACCAGTGGCCGCTGGAGCTGGGGGTGCGGCGCGGGGGGAGTCCGGTACATGCTGCTGTACATGGCTGCGGCCGCCGCGGCCGCCGTCGTACTGTCCATGCTGCCCAGCAGGCTGGGGTGATAGAAATAAGGCGAGGGGAACATCCGCTGCAGTGCTGAGTAGTTCCCGGCCTCGGCCAGCAGCTCCAGGCCCACCGCCGTCTGCCGCTTCCACTTCGTCCTGCCGGGAGGAGCAAGAGGCGGCTGCAGGGCGGGCGCCACGATGGGGCACCTAACCCGGTTTCGCGGGAGTCCGTAGGCGGCGAGCCCCCTCCCCTGCCGGCCCCGCACCACCGGGGCCCCGACGGGGCGCACTGGCCCCGTGGGCCCGCACACGGTGCGATCCTCCCGGCTGTGCCCGGTTCCCCGTCCCAGCCCAGCACCCCACGACACATGCATACGGTGACTACGGCCAAATTAATAACCGTGGTACGCAGTTAGATAGCAGCGCGCTGACACTAATGGTTTGCGACAGAATTAGGGTGGCTGCGACCGTATGTAATAAGACAGAAAATTACGGCAGCGGTGACAGGGACTGGACCCCTCAGCCTGCCGCCGGGAAGGGCGCGGGGCAGCCGTCGGGAGCACCCCGCACCACCCTTGGCTACCGCGGGCAGGAACCCAGCAGCGCCTGCCCGCCCCTCCGGCTCTCCAGGGAGACCCTGGGCCGTCGCCCAGCCTGGGCCCGTCTTACCTCCGGTTCTGGTACCAGGTTTTGACCTGTGTGTCGGTGAGGTTGAGCGCGGCGGCCAAGTCCATGCGGTCCTGCACGCTCAGGTACTTCTGACGCTCGAAGCTGCGCTCCAACTGGTTGAGCTGGTGGTCGGAGAAGGCGGTCCGTGCCTTCCGAGGCTTCTTGGCGCGCACCGGCGGGCTGTCCCGGCTACTGCTGATCTCCCGATCGCCTTCCTCCTTTGTCCCTGCGAGCGAGCCGAAGCGCGGTGAGGGCCGGCGGGACACCGGATCGGCCCTCGCCCCGCCCCGCCGCGGTTACCGGGCCCGGCCGCCCCCTCCCCGGGGGCTCCTCCGGGGCGCGGGGGGAAGTATGGCGGGGGGCGGCGGCGAGCCTGTCCAGGGAACGGCGGGATTTCCACTCTCCGCTTGCCAACTACAGGGCTTTCGTTATTTTCTCGCCCTCTCCCCCCGGCCCGAAACGCCGGGAAATCGATCTGTCAATCCTGCTCCATTCGGGCCCGGGTTTGTGGCGCTCCTTGATCTTCCCCGCAGGAAGAACAATAATCTCCCTAATTGACCCACTGGGGAGGTTGGTGCACACAAAAATGGCCAGACCAGACTGTACATCTGGTTTGGGCACTCGTATGCTAATGCTAAAGAGCAAAACGAGCGGCACTTGCGGGCACCTCGTTGCTCTGAGCCTGGCGAAAATAGCTCAATTCGGCAAAATAAGGAAAATGTGTCCTGTTGCCTCTCGGCTGCACCGGGCTGCCTGCGGGGAGGGCAGTTCTGCCGACGCCGAAGGGAAAATATCTCCTCTCCCTGCTCGCCTTTCCTTACTCTTTTCCTCCCTTCCCCTTCCCACGCACACATCGCTATTTTCATTTCCGAACCCCGCACGGCGGGGGCTTCCCCATCAGCATGAAATCCCTAATTAAAAAAAAATAAAAAAATTAAAGATGGAAAAATAAACCTTCTATCCCGGCGCAGGGGAAACGTGAGGGTTTTGCCAAATGCACAAAGCCCTTCAACCTCCCTCTGCCGACCGCGGGCCGAGTTGTTATTATTATTATTTTTAATTAAAAGTTTATTTTTTTCGTTTATTTGTTATTGACTGATGGGGAAGTGGAATTTTTAATCTTAATTTTATTTTAGATCGAATAAGCAAAAATGAAAAGGCTGAAGGCAGTAAGTGAAGCTGAGGAGCCGGTTCTTAGAAAGCCGGAGAATCATTTATGCGCATTTGCATTAAAAATAAATACGGTCTGATTTCCCATGCGATCCCACTGCTTGGGCTATTTTCTTAAAAACAAGGAAGTTAAATTTGAAAAAAAAAAAAAAAGAAAGAAAAAGAAAAGAATAAGAGAAGGAAAGGCTAACAGATATTAAATAAAAAAAAAAAAAAAGCGATTTCATTTCCTACCGATCTCATCCCCGCGGTAGCGAGGATCACCGAGTGGTCCCGGCAGAGCGAGCACTCCTACTGCAGATTTTCCCCACGATTTTCGTTTCACCGATGAGGCCGAACGCAGCGGCCCCGGTTTTACCGGCGGCCGAGGCGGTGCGGAGCCGGGCCGGGCCGTACTTACCGTGGCATTTGATGTCCCCCGGCGTGTCGTCGCGCTTGTCGAGCTTGGCTTTGCCGTCCTCCTGCTCGAGTTTGGGCCTGAAGCTCTCCGGGGCCGCGCTGCCCTCCTGCTTGGGAGTGTGATGGGGAGAGGGGACGCTGGTACTGTAAGGTGCACACGCCGCCAGCGGTTTGCTGTCGCCCAAAATGTCCTTAATTAAAAAAGAAGATGTGGAAGTCCTGGGGCCGGAGCTGGCCGAGCCCAGCTGGGGCGGCGGCGGCTGCGGGGGCGACGGCTGCAAACTCGGCGGCGGTGGCGGCGGGTGCGGGCCGAGGTGGAGGTGGTGCGGCGGCGGCGGGAGGTTTTCCGCCACCCCTAGATGCGGCTCGGGGTGCTCCATGCTCACCGAGATGGGCGACGAGGGCGCCGTCCCCACCGTGTCGATTTCTGAGCAGGGGGACGGCGTGGCCTGGCTCCTAAAATCCGCCGGCCGGCCGTCGCCGTGGGGGCGAAAATCTCCGTTCATGACTCCGGGGCTGCCGGTGCTGCCACCCGACAGGATCGTGTCTATCCCGAAGCTGGACCCGCTCGGCCCCTCCATGGCGGACCGTTCAGCGCCGCGTCCGCATCCCCGTGGGCGGCCGCGGGGGTCTCACCGGGAGTGGAGGAGAAGGGATGTGGGGGGGCAGAACTGGGTTACCCCAATCAGCGCACCGCCGGCGCGGGCGACACTAAAGCGGGGCCCCCGCCGAGCCCCACATCGCCGCCGGGCCGGCTCGCCGCTACCCAACTTTGTTGCGGGAAGTTGCGGGCGCGGAGCGGGGCGGACACCGGCCACTGCGGCGCGCCCGCCCGTGCCCACCGAGCTCCTCTCGGCGGCGGCGACTCCCCCCGTGACGTCACAGCCGCCGCGGCCCCCCCCGCCGTTTATTATAAACCCGGGCTTTTGCCGCCGCCGCCGCCCGCCCCCATTGGCGGAGGGTCGCGAGGGGGCTGACGCAGCGCGGGCCGCAGCCAATCAGCGGCGGCGGCGGGCACGGCCGCGGGAGGCGGGTGCGCGCCCCCGCTCCCTCCCGGACCTGTCCGCGCCGCCGCCGCCCCGTCGGGCCCCTATTCCCCCGGTCACCGGAGTGGATCTTCCCGGAGAGTATCGTCTGGTGATCCCGGGACGGTTCCCTGGTTGAATGTCAGAATAATAGGAAGTGCCAGCGACAAGACGTCGTATTAATTCTGATGAAGCAGCGTGTCAAGCTAATTAGAAGAGTAATTATAAAGGTGATAATGAATGATTTAGAGTTCTCCGAGTTTTATTTTAGTAGGAAATGCCATTTCCAGGGTCGTATGAACCACAGCTCTACACCTCCCTTCCCGGCCTCCAGTAGACTCGAGACTCAACCAGCCCCCAAAACATCCGCGGCACCAAACCTCGGGGGCACAAGGGAACTGGGCACAGCAGTGGAGGCACAGGGAAAGATTAGGGCAGGATGAGCCCAAGAAGCATTTTTCGGGTGCTGGTGTTCAGCGAGGGCACTAGGGGTTACCTTAGGTGTAGGGTCACTGGCACTTCCGCCCCGGATACAGAGGCTGCCCGGTGATGGGAGCCCCCCGCCAGCCTGGAGTGAGAAGCGGGGAGTGAGGACACGAGGGTCCTTTCTAACCCCCTCATCGTTCTGCCTGCCCCGTACCGGGAGTGCCCCGTCTGGCCCTGCACACTGCTATGCGGATGTGGTGGCAGCGAGGGTGCGCCTCCACCCCGTTTCCCACCCGCGTTTTGTTTCCTGGGGAAGCCGTCCCGCTCAGAGCTGCGGAGAAGTGCGGGGAGCGCTTGGGGAGCTCAACAGGAGCGAGAGACCGTGTCCAGCTGGTAACTCGTTGCGAGTGTTTGGATCCGACGTGAGATGCCGCAGCCGCGGGACAGCGGTGTGGGATGCGAAGCTGCGCCCCGACATGAGAGATGCCAACGCGGAGAGTGCCGCGGCCTTCGGCTCCTCTTCCGACGGCTTGAGTCCGGCCTTCCCTCGTATGGAGGGGGGCGAGGAGCTTCTGGGTCCTCGCTGGTATAAATCGCGGTGCTTCCCTGGGATTCATCAGTCACCGGTGCCACACCCGAAGGGTAGTGCGGCGGGATAGGTCCCGGCCCCACTGCCGCACTCCGGAAGAAGTTTTTCGACGGCAGGGAAGCCTGCCCGCGGGCAGCCCGTTGCTACCGAGCATCGCCCACTTCGTCCCGACGGCTCCACACGGCCGTCAGCCGCCCCGCGGGCAGCCGGGGGAAGCCAGGCGTACGGTTTGCCGTCGGGCTTTAGGCACCGGTGTTGCGCCCAGAGGCCGGTGAGGGAGCAGAGGCGGCGGGCCCGAAAGAGGTGCAGGGCCGCCCGTGTCCGCTGGGCGGCGGTGGCGGCCGCCCCCGTTGTCCCCGACGGGCGCCCAGCACGGACGAGGCCGGAGGCAGCGCCGGAGCCGCAGCCCCGGTGCCAGCTGGGTTGGCAGCACGGCGGAGTGACCTCCTGCCAGCACGTCCCTACAGATCGGGGCCTTTGGAAGAACGAGGAGAAGACAAGGGAACAGAAGAAGGAGGAAAACTGAGGAGTAAAATGAAAGAACAGGAGAAAGGGAAAAACACTTAAATACCTACAAATGCCCAGGCAGGTTTTCTGCAGCAGGGAAGCAGCCCGCGGTGGCTGTATTTATCCTGCTGTCTTGGTTTGCAATTTTCCCAAACTATGTCCTAATTATCCCGGGGGGAATGCGGGATTCGGGGTAATATGTTACACTAGCATAATCCTTTAACTCACAATACACCTCCCCGTCCCAGAATCGGGATTTAGGGCTTAAAGTCATGTTCTTGAAGAGTGAACACCTTTCATTTCCTTCGTCTTATTTTTTAATCCTCGATTCCATTGTGTAGAAATATTCTGGGGGAAAGCAGCGCGAGGCCCTTCCCCGCCCGGGGCAGCCGCTCCGCTCTCGGCCGGGCTCCGCAGAGCCCGGAGCGCGGGCAGCCTCGGCCTGTCCTGCTCCTCCGCGGGCACCGCCGGCCGGTTCGGATTCCCAGAGCGTGATCAGCCCTACGCGGGGGCATCTCACGCAAAACGCCCTCCACCTCCTGCCTGCACCCTCGGGGGGCGAGGAGACCAGCGGGACGCTCCTTGTACTTGTTGAGGCCAGAGTGGATGCTGACAGCTGCTGCCCCGTGTCCCCTCAGCCTCTGGCTGGATGA